CACACTCACACACACATTCACACACACAAACACACACACACACACACACACACACACACACACACTCACACATAAATAACCCTCCCCTCTCTCCCCTCTAGCTGTGTGTGGAAGAACATGTCAGAACGGCGGCCATTGCTTGGCAGAAGGGTTCTGTTGGTGCGCTGATGGTTTCTTCGGGGACGCCTGCGAGTACAGTGAGTGTGACCTATATTTAGAGGTGTGCTGACAAGATGAGTTACTTCTCCTTTTTTTGGTGGCTTTTTTTGTTTTTTTGGTAAATGTTTTACGGCGCTCGCAACTGCATAAGATCATATAAGCGCGCTGGACACAGTAAACTTTTTCCGTTGGTAGGAAATCTTGAAGAAGAAAATGCTTCGGTCGCTACTAAGATTCGAACCAATGACCTTTGAATGAGAGGCGAACACCCTAACCTCTAGGCCACGAGAGCCCCCATTACATCTACCAAATCCACAAATGGAGATGTTGTACAAAAATCGACCTTAGGGTCCAATTTGTAGATTTCCTACTGATGCCATATTCTTTAATTATATTATCCTGTCTTTTATTATTTCCTACTTACAAATTGTAAAAACTTGACCTATAAGCGTGATGTATCTATTTCCAAAAGGCTGAAATCCGAGAAGTAACTCTTTTTGTCAGCACACGGCACCATTCTTCCTTCTTTCTTTGTTTCTTTGTTTGTTTGTTTTTCTGTTTGTCTTTCTTTCTGTCCTTCTTTCTGCCTTTCTTTCTGTCTCTGTGTCTTTCTGTCTTTCTTTCTTTCCTTTCCTTTCTTTTTTCTTTCTTTCTTTCTTTCGTTCTTTCTTTCGTTCTTTCTTTCGTTCTTTCGTTCTTTCTTTCGTTCTTTCTTTCTTTCTTTCTTTCTTTCTTTCTTTCTTTCTTTCTTTCTTTCTTTCTTTCTTTCTTTCTTTCTTTCTAGGCGTTGTCCGCCCTGTACAGGCTGTATCCCCCCAACAACCCCTCCCCTCTCTGTGCTATCACCCGTTTTCCTTGCCCAGGCTGTACCTGTCTTCTTTCTCATGTCGTCTCGCCATCGTCTCTCTGGTCTTCCCCTTGATCGTTTCCCTGTTCTTGGTCTCCATTTTATACATTTCATATGAAAATCTTCCTTTCAACAAATGTGGTCAGCTGATTCTTCAGGTTTCCTTGCCAGGTGATGTCCTTCCATGGACCCGCGGGAAAGACAAGTTGTTGTCCACGGGGTTTTTTTCAGTAGTGATTTTCCTTCCTGTTGTCAATAATAATAATA